GGTTAAGGGCTTGAATTGTCACAAATTTTGTCTAGTTTAAAAAAGTATACGACAGTAATTGCTTTAAAATCTATCCTTCAGAACTAAAACTAACCAAAACCTAAAAATAATAAAAAAAAAATGGCGTATTTTTGAGTGCTGCGTTGCTCGCACAGGTCTTTGGATGTCGAAAACTTGGATTTTTGACGTCCATACTCAGCCTAACAATTTAAAAAAAAAATTAGAAATGACACATCTGATGCAAGGTATTATGATAATTTGACTGGACTACTTGACGATTTTCTTTAAATTTTTACAGTAGGCCCATTCGAATTATTTAGCCAATATCTCTTCAGAAACGGGCCAGTAGGTACTATTCAACACTATGCTCTTGATAGTCAAACTCTTGGCTCAACAATTATCAAACAATGTACTCTATTACCAATTTTGTTATCATAATTCATAACACTGTCAAACGCATACCTACACCTAATCATTTACTACCGACTTACAGAAAAAGTACTTTTGGAAAAACGTATTGGTTAAGACACAAACGTGCAATTATAAACGAACGACAATATTAGAAAGCTGATTGAATTTTAGAACACTTGTTGCAGTGGGATAATTAAAGAACGTTCGCTAACTTTGTAGAAATTCATAGTGGATAAATTGGTAAATATAATATATTGCCCCAAATCTTCAAATAAGAGAAACAATTGAGAATCCGGAAATAGTCTACAAAAAAATGATTATACGAGCATCCTGTATAATCCTTAATATTTTTAAGTAAAATTAAATTTGGGAACTAACAAATTAATAACATACCTACAAACCATAAATAATGAACTGATAGCGTCATTTGTAACAGTAGCTTTCTAAAGGAGTTTGGTTTCTTTAGTGGACTCTTTAAAATTTTTTAAAAAGTATGGGTTCCATTGTACACGACTGTATTTTGTTTGCGCGCGGCCTGTTTCAAAATTACGATAGAAAAAAATTGGGAGTGGGGGCAAATTCATAACTCCCCCCCCCCTCCATTTTACAAATAATTGCTTTTTCACAGAGCGAACGATTGCGTTTGGAATGTGCATATTTGCGTCCCGAATACTTTCTTTTACGCCCCCACGCCATTTTTCAAATTTGGCGTTTTTTTCTAGTGATCGTTTGCGCTTAGTTTGTGCCTCCGTCGTTTTTTAGTTATTCCAGATGCAAACTATACTGCTTTTTCCTCATTTTTGAAACTTGACCTTTTTCTCTAGTGATCGTTTGCGCTTTGTTTTTTTGAACTAGTATTGAATTTTGTATTTCGAATTACTGAAAAACGGCGGGAGCGCAAACGAGGATATTTCTGGCGCAAAAATTTGAATAATTAGGGCCCCCCCCCCTAAATTTTTTCTATCGTAATTTTGAACAGGCCGCGCGCAAACAAAATGTAGTTGTGTGCAAACGAGCGCATGCAATGCGCAATTCTTTTCAAAAGCGATTTTTTTTGTTTCCTAGAATTGGGAGCCCAAATTCACACAGGTCATTTTATTCCCTAAGGTGAAGGATGTGTCATGGAAATGTTTCCTTTGTTTTTAATGGCGTGATAAAGATTGAGGCACCAGTTTGTTTCCAAATTAGCTTACTTTCAGGATAAATGAAGTACAGGAACTCTGACTCACTTCCCATGTTAGCTAAAGAAGAAACGCATAGTGGAAAAAAACTGCCGTGTGAACGATAACTTTGTTTAGAAATGTCCGATCGCTTTTACATATCCATACATAGCTTTAGCCATATACGCAATGGCAAATCGATTCAAAATTCACAGTGCCCTTTTCGCATCTCGACCATTTCTAAACCAAATTGCAAACTTTTTTATTTATAAAAGTATTTGAATGAAATTTGATACATAGGCACTTGGAATAAATGAAAATCGAACGCCAATTTCAAAATTAGGTTTTGCGCATGCGCAGTGCCAACTTTTTTAGTTATGGAAAAATTTAAACGAAATTTGATACATTGACGCTTGGAATAAAGGAAAATCAAACGCCAGTTTCAAAATTTGGTTTTGCGCATGCGTAGTGGCAACTTTTCTATCTATGGAAGCATTTAAGTGAAATTTGATACTTTAGGCGCTTGGAACAAAGGAAAATCTAACCTTAGTTTCAAAATTTAGGTTTGCGTATGCCCAGTTCCAACTTTCTTATTTAGGTGAAATTCTTCTTATAAACTGAAATTGAAGTAGCACGTCAAAAATGGATTGCACATGTGCAACGTTATCTTTCATATTTGTGGCCGGATTTTTACGATTTTAGCAGGAGTTGCATCTTACAAATGGGAAATGAATGCAAGTGGAAATGCGCTTTATGTAAATCGTTTACGATTACCTTTTAACTTGTTTAATTTGGGAGGCACTAGTTTCCTCATATCTTGTTCTACAGAGTTTTGAACGATCATTTCTGTGCCGTAGTTTTGGGCGGGAATCTTTAAATGAAAGTATACGGTCACAGTCTAACATGACAAGGTATATTCATTCTACAATAAAACATTTTTCTTTCAAATTGTAACGATTGTTCACGGTATGATGACTTGTGGTAACATAGCATGTAAGTAGCAATGTAGCATAATTATAGAATTTAACTAACGTCATCTTCCGGATTCTTTTCGTACCGGGGCGCACAAGGCCCAAATCGTTTTCCTTTCCGGCAGAAACTCTATTTCAACAAGTATTTGAAGCGGAAGTGTCGTTAATTCTATGGGCCTAATTCCACAAACTAGTTAATATTGTCTTTAGTAATTGGTGTTTTTCGTTCTATCATTTAATTGTTGTTTGGAAGCCAGCTGAAGCACTTATCTCCACTTTTCTTTGGAGGATATGTTAGATTATGGACACAATTATACAATATCTGACGGCTGAGCCGACGTAAATTAATTAATTCACAATCGCTACTCGATTAATTGGTTTCTTGGATTAGAGAAAGTACCCACCTGAAAAATACCAGTCCCATCCCGTGGGTATAACAACTACAAGGGTGTTCCTGTGCAAATTACCATCGTAATTAAAAGCTCCTATCAGTTAAGATACGGTCATCTTGTAGGCCATCCTGGATTTCACCTGTCAGATGGATGCTTGCGGATTAGATAAGGGTGAGTAAATAATAGGATTTAACCTAGACATATAACCAACCAGGGAATACCTTCTTCCGTTTCTTCTGTTTTGTTGTAAAACCTTCGTTAACTACCTCTTAAAAGGGATAAATACTCGAGTTGTAAGTGTAACTATTAACGTCATTGTTTGCTTGCAATTTATTAGTGTTTTCCGACCGATGAATGATCGATTTTTGATCGCGTTAGCTGGCATTGGTGTACATTGTCTTTGTTTTGAAGTAGTGTACAAGTTAATTATCGTGTTTGATTTTGATTTTGATTTTGAATCAATAATTTTGAATATTGCGAACCATTTTTGTACTTGTGGGCATACGCTATTCAATTTTAGAGACCATTTCATTTTAATATTCACTAGAATTATAAACCAGTATTTTTTTATTAATTTGATATCACCGTTATTTCCCTTATATCTCTCCCCACTTTAGCCTTTTGGTATATAATAAGCAATAACTAATTTGTTTAGCAACCAAGCCGGGAAGCTACGTTTTCCTGACTGGAGAAACTTTATACGAGCAGTTAACAGTTAAGAAATTCGTGGTTTTAGCCCCCGTGCATAAAAAACACGTTAATCTCAATGTGAGTAGGTGGATAAAAGAAAATCGAATTAGAACACGTGAAACATTCTTTTTCGGATATCCGAGAAAAAAGAAAGCGAATAGAAAATTTTCCATAGTGGCTTCAGAAATTTGGATAAATATTTCGGATTATATTGGTTTTGTCTTCAACTACATGGGTTTAAAAACTAACCAAAATTTGTTAATTCGATTTCCTGGCAGATTAATAAACTTAGAGAAAAATTTTTCCTGCGTTTTAACGATACTTATTTGCAAAACAAATATTATTAATAGACTTCATAATATAAACCATGTAAAGTACCTTATATAAATTAAATCGTGGGCGAATAATTCATACATATTTTCAAATCGTAAGTATTGTGTTATTGTGCTCACCCGGAAAAATACTTGAACTTGATAATTTAAACAATACCCATTGAATAACTTAATTTTTCACTCAACGCCAATACTCAGTAAATAAAAGGACCATTGTGAGAAATAGATTATTCACTATATATATCCGCTCAGACCGCTTGCTGTGAAAATCAACAATCGTCATATAATTATCGTCAATAAGGTAAAAACAACGTCCAAATATTGCTGAGCAGGTGCCGGACCCGCGTGGATTCATGATTCTGAGCCGTAAACAGTAAAAACTTTAATAATTGGGTAGGGGTTGCCCACCCTGAAATGTAACGTTCCGTTACAGATCAATTATACCAATTTGTAACTTTTAGGGATTGTGATTTTTTTACAGAGGAGATGCTATTTTAAGCGTTGTTTGCGAGAGCTCTAATTTAAACGAATCTGGATGATTTGCAAACGGTATGTTGCTTTTTGTCAGAAACCAACACAAACGTAACGCTATAACCGACGCACCATAGTCCCGAGATTTGTGACGCCAATTTTCTGATCACTTCACGGACCCCATTAACTTATATGTTACTGTATGCTATTCAAGCGTTGAGTGAAGGATTCAACGATTCAAGTCTTTCCTAACATTAAGCAGTATCCAAAAAAAGGAATATTGGACAAAAGAAGTAACAAAGCTTACATGTACTTTCTCTGGACCTTATTTTTAAACCTTAGGTACCATTGTCGCAGTTAAACAATCATCTTACAATGAAGACCAACATATATTAATGCAGAAATACGACGCATGGTTCGTAATTATTGAAAAAAAATTATGAGTTGCTTATGTCTTCTTTTGACTATTAAACGACACAATGAAACCGAAATAACAACTGAAAACATTAGCGATCAATACTGAGAACAGTGAATGTTTTCAGTTATATGACATCGTTAAATTTAATAACGTACCTATAATGCAGTCCAAGACTATTTTAAGTAAAGGCCGATGTCGTAAAAAGCGTTCTAATTTCATACGTGACCAGCAGAGATATACGCTGTCTTCTTCCGCTGTGACGGTAACTTGAAATAAGTCATCCGACTGCTCATGGTTGGCCTCCCATTCTGGTGAATCCACGAACTGATGGACGTTAATAAAATGGAGATGCGTATCGTCGCATGTGACACGTAATCTGCGAAATGTAATCAAATCATTATTGGGTTAAGTTGTATCTGTAATAGCTTCAATTCTAACATGATTGTTGTAAAGTACTACAGTCACGCTATGTTAAACTGAGCGGGTGTGTTCTCTGTCTTTGTATGTTTACGATGATAAATTACATCGTGTAACGCCTCATTAAGTTTTTTAATTAATCACAATTTTTTCACGCTCTCTAATACCTCGACGGGTGCTAATCGCTCTGGAAAACAAATCATCCAACGCGTTTTACGATTGCTTCTAGAGTTCATAGCAGGTTAACTTAAAGACAAGTTAATTAACCCAAGTGTTAAAATCAACTGATCCGACACACAAGTTAGTAAACTTATCTAACACATCACTCGAGAAAATTAATTTGGTTAATTAAATTAATTTTACTTTGAGCTGACTATAAACACCCTGATTTTCAAATGAAAGGTATGGTTTACGACTACGAATCTAATATCACCATTTTCAACTTTAAACAAGTAATCCAAAACCCAAACTGCTATATATTGACGTCCTTTGCAAGTCAAACTGGAGAATAAATATTAAATATTTATACTCATCGCTTGCTGCGCTTAATGGAATAAATTAATGTCTTAATAAAATAGAAATTAAAGATTTGTGATTGTGTGGCGCTCATTTTCGTATTTCTCAAAAGCATTACACCTCTGTAGACAATACATTGTAAATTCCCTCAAAGAACTAGCCGTGGAAAATTCGCACTTTAAAGAGCTGTATTCAATGGCGAGTTGTCCATAAAACACAATAGGCAATTAATATTTATTATAGCGTAGGGACCTATGGGAGGGGGACTACGTGGACTAATTTTTTAAATGGAAATTTCATAATTAATGTTATATCAAAGGGTATATCGTATACTCTTTGATTATATTGATCTGTCTGATCTCTAATGTGAGGACGTACGTTTTTAAACACGTATAATCCAGTTAAATTGTATTTTTACCAGGAAAGTTGTGGGGTAGTTTTGATTTCTTTGATTCTATATGTTTTTTGGGGTGCTGAATCCGAATCTGAGGTTTGCTAACAACATTTCATGACGCAACATTGAAAAAAATACAAAAGAAATTGAAAAAGATATTTTTTTGGCAGTGTTGTGCTTACAACTTGAAAACTATCAACTTTTCGAAAATAACCTTCCTATTCAAAATTAAAGTACATAAAATTTCCTACAGACCCCACTATTTAGTTTTTTTCCTCGATAAACCGTTCGGGCTCAAGCGCCAGTTGAAACTTGGCGTATTTCGGCTATCTCCACAAAACATAGTTTTTTCGCACTAAAACCCTAAATTAATATTAAGCGTTGTCAATAAGTGAATTCCTTGCATTTACCGACTATTATTTGAATTTCATATGTAAGGGTGGTTTTTTCTCATTTTTATAACATTCAAGGTGTTTATTGTAGTCCAGAATTGTATGAAAAGTTAATTTCTAACGAACAACACATATTATTATATTATTTATAATATATAATACTTATACTGTGCCATCTAAAACTATTCCCACTCTCTTCCGAACCAGATAAAGAAATCACAAAACCCTACCTTAGCATGTTTGGATAATTATTGTTGAATTTGGGAAATTGGCGCTGTGGTCATTATTAATTCAAAAATTCAAATGGCAAAAGGGGGTATATTGATTTCCTATTCAACGGCATTATCCCTCTTGCTCCGGTGTTCTGAAGAATCACGTACTCCTCGGAGTGGGGTAACGCAATTACCCCAGCTTAAATTTGTCTGCTAACAACTGAACCCGATTTATTTCTTTTCTGTTTACTTACATGTTAACCAGCGACAAAAAGCGAGTTCATGATTTTGGACTGTCCGTCCGTCCATCTGTGTAACTTTGTGAGGGTGTGTATGTATGTGAATGGGAGGAGGGTCTCCAGACTGCAAACGCAGGTACACGGTGACGTAATGGGCCTTGGCTCATCTGTGAAGGAGTGGGAGAGTTTTATACCAGACGGAACAGTTATAAAATCTTTTGAGGAGACCGGTAGACAATGAAAAGTACGGATTTATATTTGCACAGAATAATAATAAAATAATAATAAAAGATGAGTATTTGCGGATACAGCTGAAATACCCCAATTTTCAACTGGCGCTCGAGCCCGAACGGTTCATCGAGGAAAAAAAACTAAATAGTGGGGTCTGTAGGAAATTTTATGTACTTTCATTTTGAATAGGAAGGTTATTTTCGAATAGTTGATAGTTTTCAAGTTGTAAGCACAAAACTGCCAAAAAATATCTTTTTCAACTTCTTTTGTGTTTTTTTCAATGTTGCGTCAAGAAATTTTGTTGGCAAACCTCAGATTCGGATTCAGCACCCCAAAAAACATATAGAATCAAAGAAATCAAAAGTACCCCACAACTTTCCCGCTAGATGCCCGTTTGAGAACAAATGGCCTGTATTAGTATTCCATTAGTTATACTTATAGCCATCTCTTAGAGGAGCAAACTTAACAGAAGAAAAAGTCAAATGTAATACGCGAAACAGAACAACCTACATCTTACAATTTTTCACACTTTTTTAAATTTTCTATAGGCTGAACCATTGCGGAACGCGTAATAAATTTTGTGCATTTTGTTACTTGAAAGCTTTCTATTTATTGGAGAAGAGAGTTCCTCTTTAGTAGAGGGTTTTTTATACAGCCACGCGTTTAGAGATGACTGCTGAGCGCTTGTTTCAATATTGAATGATTCAAATATGCTGCCGACCTATAGTAAAGCATCCTTATAAAATATTCAGCTGTGCAGGAATTTATAAAACTTTGCAAACCTCGTTTTTATATTAAAAAAACAGAGTCTTTGTTGAAAACCAAACGGTGATCTACAGTTACCCTGACATTTACTATTCTTGGGGCGTCTTCTGATGCATATAGCATTTTAATTTTGGGGGTGGTACGGAAGCCAAGAACTCAGAGACTACTGACTAGATGTCATCTAATTCTTTTTTTGTTATGTGAGACTATCGTGCTACTTGCTGCAGCTTAAAGTAGCCATTGGACTTAGCACCAAGCTACATATATACAGTGGGTAAGTTTTGTATTGTTGGAGATATCGTCTTGTATCACATGTACAACTCCTTGAGGTTCAATTTGTTTGAGGGAAAAAGTTAAATATTTTTTTTAGTTCTCCAGCATTTAACATCTGGCCTGAGATGTTACAAATGTGACTCATCTCGCCCTTATACCGTTGAGTCAATGAACTTGGAAACAAAGCTTATACCATAATGGAACTTAAAATGAAGGTTTTGCAACTAGGGTATTTCTAGTACCTACTGAAAAATGTACAAGGTGTCCCATTTTCGAAACTTTTCCAGGATTTCTCAGTAATTGTTAGTGGTACCAAAAAAATAATATAGACGTCATGTGCTCCTTTTGAGTGAAACCTAAAATATTAAAATCCAAATTTGAAAACATTCTCTTTTCAAAAATGTCACACCAGGGATGATTTTGAAAAAATTCAAATGATTCAAAAAAGATTTCCAAAAATTGAAAAAAGGTCCAAATGATCAAAAAAATTGGATAATGTGCGATTCACAACCGAACCAGCCTTTAATTATTTTTAGGTTATGTAGGATTCTGGACTGCAAGTAAATCGCGGACTTGTCTTGCGCTGTTGTGACCTTTGTAAAAATGTATAATTTAAATTTTCATCTCTTTAGACAGCATTTTTAAAATTTATCTGCAGGGCGATAGACCTGAAGGTGACTGATTTACATTGCACCTACTATCCATTTGAACTACTCGCGTTTTTTTATGGAACGTAGGGAAATAACATTGCACGCAAAATCGTATGTTCCAGTTTAAGATAAACGCACTGTATGTATATTTTGCAGTTTCTATTGCTTCATTGTTTAAAATGTTGCATTTACCTTTCTACGGTGCGCGACGTTTCGGGGGAGTGCGTTTTGGCGGCGCAGCGAGGCGTTCCGGTGGACGCGACGTTACGGCGGCGGTACTTATCGGCGGAACACTTTTCAGCAACCGGATGTTTCCGTGGAGCGCGATTCGGCGGATTATATACACGATTAGTCAACGATTGCGCGGAGAGTTGCCTTGAAGAAAAGATTTTACGGTAGAGTGCTTTTGTATTATGATATGGTTGAATATTCTCCACATTTTAAAAGTATTTGGAAGTATACAGGGTGCGCTCACAAAGTAGGGCGCCGAAATAGTGAAAGACTCAACGGTCGAAGTAATGGAACGGGAGAATCTCTCATTCTTCGCTTAACGGTTCATGCCAGGGTATTTTAAAGGTACTGTCTGTAGCCATAATTTCAAAAAATCCGGGCTACTATTACTACTATTTATTTATAATCATTAGATCAAAAAATAAAAATCCTCTGCTTAGGCCATCAGGCATAATGAGATATCTCTTCTGGAAATATAAAAAAATAACTTTATCAGTTTTTTTCCAAAATTATGATCAAATGCAAGCTGAATACAGTTTACAAAGAACGCGTCGCTTGAAGAGAAAAACGAAAATAACATGAGAACAATAACTAAGAGACTCAACGTCCTCTCTAAAATTTAAATGTACTACTTTCATTTTTTGGAATATTTTATTTCCAAAATGTAAGAAGACCAGGTTTGATTCTCTCTTCCGCAAAGATTGCTGGAGTCACTCCTGAATGTGGAAGTTTACATTACATATATTGTAACATAAGTGATACGATATACGTAAGTATTCACTTCTACTAGGGTAGAAGGGTAGTCTGGCACTAACTATGCATGGCAAATAAGTCATCCTGCATACAAAAATCTTATAAAAAAATGTTTTTTAAGTAGACCCACTGATTACATTTTAAACAAAATAATTAACATAAGGGTGGTTTTTTCTGGTTGTTAATTGAAAGGATACGTAAATTATATTAACGTTCCCTCTTCGCCTCTATTTCCTATATTATAGGCACCATTTTACAATATCAGGTATGTTGCAGTGAAATTAGTTATTGAATAATTCGTCTTGTTCGTTTAACTTATGTAAATTTAATCGGTGACATATAGCTGCCATCAGGATCAGGCTGAGATGCCAACTCAATACCGCCTCATCACCTTGCCAAGTCATCACGTTGCCAAACCGACACTTTTCCGCCAACGAATAACCGTATATTAGAACTGTAGCCGTTTGGCGTTTGCTTTTCCAAAATATAATTTAGATCCTAAATGAAGACAATAACCTTTTATAATAAATTTAATTGTTGCTTATACAGGATGTTCCTAAATATGCCGTATGCATACGGAAGGGACTATTTTTTTGATTATTTTATTATACTAAAACTTCATATAAACATAGGTTCGTAAACGATGCGTTACCGATCTACAAATAAAGCCTACTGAACCATTAAAATTTCAAAAAAGTGATCAATAGCTTAGCAGCAGTAACAAAAGAAGAAATGTATTATACAAAATCTTTATCGAAATGAAACTGTTATGTAAAATCTCGGCAAACACAGTTACAACATATGAAATTAATAACACACCTCAAAGAACAAAATATAATACGTACCCACAAAATTAAAGAAGAATAAGCATATAGAATCGTTATAAGGAATTTGCATTAACTAGTACCCCTTGACGATATAAAAAATCCCTTTCGGCTCGTCCGAACTTGGCTGAGATATTAATGAGTTACACCAACCCTTAAAGTTTGGTAGAAATCGGTTCATAATTACGACAGTTAGATTTGGAAGTGACAACTGGTACCATTACACAAGATAGATAGATAGAAAATGAATTGGAAAGCAACACCGGGCCACAAAGCAACCCTTATCGCTATTCTTTATCGGTCTGGAATCGCAGAACAACAACAAGGAAAAATGAGTAAGAAATAATATAATTCAATGTACACTATGCCATGCATATGATCACTCAAAAACATAACCATACCGCTGTGTAAATAAAATACGGCGACTATCATCATACCAATGCAGCAAACCAAAAGATACCCCTGCAAATTGTGCACACTGCAATGAAGACCATACGGCTAGTTATAAGGGTGGGAAGGCCTACAAGAAACGGGTAGCATCTTAGTCGACGTAAATTAGCCCTAAAATTGGCATATAGGAAATAGTTATTTACATAAAATGTAGGCATAGGAGATACCACCCTTATATAAGTGAAGTCTCAGCCTGGTCCGCGGATAAGAACTAATAATTCATACGCGTACGAGGACTACTAGATAGATTTGTATATTATAAGAAAGTTTAAATTATAACAGGAGAGAAAGACGCACTCTTTATAAATATAAATAATTCTAAACATAAACAAGCAGCAACCGTTTAAGACAAACACAATCAAACATAACGTAGACTAGATTATATTGTTATTCGTTACGCAATCCGAAGATGATCCAATCAGCGCTGTTGGTACGATCAGTTGGTAATTGGACGCCTGAATGGCGACGGCGGGTGCACCCTGCGGCGGCGGCGGTTATATGTACCCCAAGGTATTGATGGTTACTTTCCAAATTTAATACCTGGCGCGCTCAGATAACAGACACACGATAACAGGGAAACAAACAAGGAAAGGGACACACAGGATGGACGTTAACTATGCAAGACATGGCCATCAACAAAATTCAAATAAATTTTCAATTATTAAGTGACCACATAACAAAAAGTCAGGAAAATGACACATTACTGGCGAAGAAATATTTAAGTATATGAGGCCCCTTTGGGGTAATACATAAAGTCACACTAAGTCACACTAAAATTGATCAAGGAATCGAAATCTGTAATAATATAAAAAATAATATAAAAAAATGCAACTGAGTATAACAATTCAGCCTTAAGAGTCCTTCAACATGCCTCAGCAATTAATTTTAAATATGTGTGTTAATAAACCCACAATATTTCACCCGCACACTAATGGCCCACCCTCATGTATACCAACGGTCCACTGATAAAAGGTCTATGGGTAGAAAACGAAACATGTCCTCTAAAAAAACATCGCCCATATTTGAAATTTGAACAAAATATCTAAAAAACTGCATGAGATATAAAGAAAAACTTAAAACATCATGAAATAACACACTGGTCTGTAACGAAGCGTATGTGGACCTATGTTTATATGAACCTTTAGTCATAAAATAGTCCCTTCCGTGTATACGTCATATTTAGGAACACCCTGCAGTGCTTACAATCTGTGTTTATACGCAACAAAAACGTTAGACTAATTTCGTTCAAATTTAATACGTGTGATGGTTTAAAACTGCTGCGTACATATGACTATAGCAGAAAGCACTCGGGATTTTGAAAAATGCTATATTTAAAAACTCGTTAAAGTAAGTACGAATGGCTGGTAATGTTAAATTATTCATTCCTTTCATATACAATGCAAAGCATTTGTATTGTACCTACTTCTATCAAAATTTTATGTAAAACGTTGTTTTCATAATCCTACTTCTTTACTTGCATTCGTAAATACAAACACAGCTACTGTTACAATCCCTACAGATTTAGAGTCGCCATAATCCCAAGTATGACATAGAGCGGCATTTTAAGCAGGTTTCCGCTTTGAAAACTAGCATTTAAAACAATTCTACATCTATCTGAGCTTACCTTCCTTTCAGTAGAATGGATAAACGTTCATCCGCCGGACTTGCATCTTCAACTGCATAAATATCCCCATGCTCTAAATTAATCATCCTCGCTTCTCTCACCAATTCCTTAAAATGCTTTTTACTAACCCGTAGTGGTTTGAACATCTGAAAATTGATCGTGTCGTATTTAATCAATTAGGCCTAGTTGAAACTCACCTTAAGATATAACTCTGTAAGTTCTATAGAAAGGGTTGGAGGTAGAAATCTCCATGTTAAAAGGCATGTATGTGTCAAATTTAGTATAACCAAAATAGCGTTCCATAGTAATAGGTCGGGGGCGCAAATGTCCACTCCGGCCCAACCAGTTAAAAAAATATAGCCGAGTGTTATTAACGATCTGAAAAACAGAGTTTCAAAGTTTTTTTATGTATTACGTGCAGCGCCTGTAGTAGTTTACTATGTAACTAGGACCTTTGTGTAACACATTTTAGGAAAAGAATGCGGGTCACGTATAGTGCGTACAGCTTTCTTGGGGCTTTCATCGTCGCGAAACAATCTTTTGCGGAAATTTAGTGCCTCCTCATTTAGTTATTTGTCGTACAAACAACCCGCATATTCCCATTATTACACAATAACGTATATCGATCTAAAATTCTAATCTGCGTTGTTAGATACTTCACGCTCTATTTAATTCTAGACAGAACAATCGATATCGTACCGAAAATAAGTTCATATCGGCAAGTTCGATTTGCGAAACCCTTGCCTTATATTTAACAGAACAAAATTCGCGACCACACATTAATTTAACCCGATCTTCCGGTAACAAAATTTGGTACTGTAGATACAATAGGTACATAATTATAAGTACTGAATAAATGATAATTTATCGCTTCCCCTTTTAAAGGAATTATAGCACGTTCCATCTTTAGCTTTACTAAGACGGACCTTGCCAGCAGAGTTCATTTGCGTGTTTGACTAGAACTATAATGACGTATTTGTCACAATCTTTTGCATCCGGATCTTTAAACATTAAAGAGTTACAAAATGGACCAAAATTCGTCCAAAGACTGGGTACAATTGTTAACTGAAAGCTGTATATAAAAATTCAGGCCTGTGATGTATGACTAACATTAAACTTAACGTGCAGGTTATTTGTAGAAAACGTTATTTTGCCCATACTAAGTAACGTAAAATAACGTTTTTTGTCAGATAACCTACACGTTAAGTAGCGATGGCGCATCCTTACACGATGGTACGTAAAATAATACTGAAATTGGTATCTGAGTATCTTTCAAAATATTAGTAACGTATTAGTAAAAAGGTTTTTATCGAAAAAGTTAATTGGTTTTGTAATAATAATACCATGTGCGAGATAAGCAACGCATGTGTTTATCAGTACGGGCGACGGAGCAGTGTTTCGAGAATCGCCCAGGCACAAGATGTGGATTCTCTTTTAAGTAGAAAAACAAAACAATAAACGAGGCTAAATTTAACGGGTAGGTTCCCCAAAAAAGAAGTTGAAGGTGTTGCGCCTGAAGTTGTTACGCATGCGGTTCCGCAGTTGACAAAGTTGTGGTCCAGTTTTATTAAAGTTGTCTCACCCGATTGGCCATTATAATTATTCGTTAACATCATCAAACAAGCTCTTGAATTACCAATGCTTAAGTCAATGTTAGTCTGTAATTGGGCGAAAGCCTGTTGAGGGCCCAGAACAAGAGGGACAATAAATAAATAAATAACGTGGGGCCACGGCAATATTGAACATAAAACGCTCACAACTTTTTTTTTAAAGTCGTACGCAAAAATTGTTGGACAGTTATTTTTCTAAATATACCTACAGGCAGAGTGTACCCACCAAATTTCATGAAATTCTGGTTATTTTTATGGTCCGGTAAATTGATTTTTTGAAATTTCAAGGATTCGTTATTTTCATAATGCACAGGTACCAAACATATTTCATCGAGAACGTTTTCCCACGCCCCTAGTTATAGGGATGGAATTCGCCATTCTAACTTTAAAAAGAGATCACAAAAATTGTCTTTTGAAAAATGACATTTGAACAAATATCGACACCAGAACAAACCTACTACATTTTCTTTGCAAGAACGCTCTTCCAACACCTTCTCGAAATATTCGCTTTAGAAGTTCTAACCTCATTGACGGACAAGACTAAGGATCCCTGGTTCGGATCCGGGTTCGGGCATGGATATATGTAAATGTACAGAAATACAGGCAAAATAAAATCAAAAGTAAAATAAGCAAACTTTCGGTTTACATCAGCAATCGGAAGGTATACATGTAGCGTACCATTTTAAAGGTTCATTTTCACGGCCCAAAAGGTGGTAAGGAAAAACATGTTTCAAGTTTCTGAGAAAAATGGCAAAATGTCAATTTTCAGGGGTTCGAACCCTTATAAAAACGCTTCCCACTGACCCTTTCGGAAATTGTTAGTTAATGGTCTCGAGAAGCTTCGTCAAAATGCTGCTTGTATCCGCTTGGTAAAAATAATCTAAAAATTTGACGTTAAGCGAGCTCACAACGCGTCTCGCAACACGACGCCATAACTTAACTTCTGAGCCAGCAGGCGAAAGCAAAAAAAAATGAGAACTACCTACTGTTCTGGTGAAAACAAAGAGAATAAAAATAGTGGAAAAGAAAACGGTAACATAATTATGCCATCATGAAACTTGAAAGGAACATTATGTTGAATACAAAATTTTAGATACATACATAAAAACATTCCAGTGTTTTGCAAGTAGTAAAAATGGTCTAAAACGAATACAAGTGGATAATGAAAGCCGATAAGGACGCATAAAAGCGAGCGAAGAGAATAAGTGTAAACCCAATGCTATCATGGCTGCAAGAAGTTAACCTTAGCGAAATATGAAAACAAAAGACCCACAATAGAAAGAAATAGTGAAGCATTATGCTAAATATCCACATAAATCATACAGACGAAGACTAAGCCTATTGAACCTCCAAATGTATTAAAATTAAAGGGCATTGCAGTGTTTATTAGAGATTTTATTTGCAAAGGCGTTTACTTTTAGAATTGGTTATGTGTGCAATGCAACTAGAACGGAAAGTAATCGTTTGAAGTAGTACAAAGGGGTAAATTCACGCAACAGTTGTCCGAGTATGTAGACATTCAGTTACGATGAAAGGTTTTAACAGGCTGTAATGTTAGCATGTATAATGTCCGTGGTGAAGATTTACCAATAATCGGTAATGGGAATAATAAATGTAAAAGGACACGAATACTTTAAGAAGCCTGTGGAATCGGATTACAATGTAAATTAGTCATTTAATATTATTTTTCATAATTTTTTCAAAGCAACTACACCCCTACACCCCGTTTTTCCTTCCTTCCGAAGTACATCAGGTGCAAAATTATTAACCAAATTGTTAGATATTCTTATTTTAGTTCTAACGTAAGCCGTTTGTTGCATATTTTATATTTCTCACGAATTTACCTAAGGGGATTAATTTGGTTCGCCATAATCGTTATTCAAATATGTATAGTCTAGTTTGCAAGATTGGATTATGTAATCCGATCGGCGTTTCTCAAGGATTTGCTTTAAAACGCAAACCAAACTCGAACAATTAACACACTCCCAGGCGGATTTCTGTAATAAAGAAGGTGAACTTGAGATCAGCAACAGCTCCTGCGGCGCCACTGATCGTCTAAAATGCACACCAATTAGACGTTTCAAAATTTATAAGTACCAACATTCTAATTTGATATGAAAGTCAATTTATCATCGCGACAATATCAATACGCAAAAATAAATTAATTTAGATGGCAACGTGAAAATGTCCCGGGTAAAACGGAAAATAACGAGGACGCCCTCACATTTGTACAAATAATTAAAAATGTAATAGACGTCGACGTCCAGAAAAACACAGGTCGAGAACGACGCCTTCAAAAACTTCCCCGATTAATTATTCTGTTTTTAGAGAAACGTTTTTCTAAAAGAATCCCAAACAGCCAAGGAAACGATCTGGTTTACGTAAATTATCCAGTTACCCTTTTATAATTAACGAAAAACTTATTTACCAAATATAAATAGATACCAGGCAAAAGGTTTTAAATTACTAATTAACTTTCGCTCCTTTTGCAATTCAGTAAACTGATTGGCGTAAATTGCGCACCTTGTGTAAAGTTCAGAAATTAGTTACTTGATCCGAACACGGGAAATTTTTTTAATTGAATGTTTCAACTTACTCTTCATTTAAAGCTCGTTATGAGTACTTTGTAATTTATTAGTTCTATTTATACTCACTTTTTGTTAAACTAGAGTTCTAAAATTCTCAAAAAAAGTTGAATTTTCTGAATACGAGCCTATTTAGGGTAATTTTTCAAGCATCCTGCAGATATCTCCACTAAGAGTTTTGCCATCACCAGTCTCGTCCTGACGTTCCGCTTGCCGTTTATGAGTACCCTCTTTCGGCACTTCGTTTTCAAGCTATTCGCGTCACTAATAGATATACCCCGTCCCGACGATTCATGTTGCCTTTGTGAGTACTCTCCTCCGACAAACAGTTTTCGAGATATTCACTCTTAAAATTTTGACCAATGGATATATTTCTTCCAGATGTCCCAATTGCTCTTTGTGCGTACCGTCCTCCCACAATCTGTTCTTGAAAGATAAGAAATTATATCTCATCATGATAAGGGGCGGTGGAGGACTATGGTTGGTAGAAATTACTTTCTTTGGTTGAGAGCTTTCCTTGAAGTGCCATAAGGGATAAAAACCAGTCCCCCCAGTTCACAGTATAGGCTACTTATTGCAAAAAATTCCAGGAGTCTAGGACAATTGCGGGGCCCGGACAAAACGCAAACAATAATACATTCTTTTAATTCTTAAAAAATGCACTGAAAATACTGTTGGATGAAAACTACTCTTTTCGTTTCTAGTAAATTGTTTCTCAGTCAAGTCAATTGAAGCAGAATAAAAAGTTTCAGTTCAATTATTACCTCGAAGCAGTTCCTTGATACGCGCTTTCAAATTATTAACGTTTATTTTTTCAAACTGTAAAAGGCAGATCATATGAAAAAACGTAGTGCTCTAATAAAGAAAAGAGAGGAAAATTTTGGTAGTGGCAATGTCGGAGAAGAGAAAGACTCGCGAGGAATTTATTTCATCGATCATGTATCCTGTATTAGACCTCATCATGGCTGATTATTTATGCAGTTGTAGATATTTATGGTCTGTTTTCATCAGTTTTGAGTTTCATGGATATTGAAGATGATACCTTGATCAAAAATTTCACAAGGATTTGTGTGAGGTTTTTGAGGAAATTCTGCACATAAAAAAGATTTATTTGTCCCATTTGTTTGGGCGGAAGAGCATTACCTATTCTACAGTCTATTTATGACAAAAAATCATTTAGAAAATTAGCTAATTCGTTGAAAACTTGGCAAAGGAATAGAACAGACAATAACCTAGCATTGTTGGCTACTAAAAACGAACTTGCTAAAAGTGTAAATTTTTCTGAACTTATTAATAAATTTGTACGAAAGGAAACAAGAAAAGTATTGTGTTAAAATCAAAGAGTATACATCTTTGGTTAAAATTAACCTTCCAGTTAAGCCAATAATAAGCTCAATAAAGGTTGGTTGCTACCATTTTCTCTGTTATAAAACTTTTCTGTGTTTTGGTGTAACTGTGTTTAATGGTAATAATAAATGAGACTTTAAATGTCCTTAATGGCCGTTTGCACCCACAAATTTAAGCGGAGCTTAGCTTAAGCGTAGCTTAAAATTCACGGAAACGATTATTGAGACAATGCTTGCCATGGATTTTAAGCTACGCTTAAGCTAAAAGAGAGCATTTTTTGGCGTTGCGTTTTTTTGCGATTTTTCGCTTTGAGTTATACGAAAATGAACTTCCAAGTTTAAAAAGAGTCAAGGTTTCAGAAACATTCCACCAAACAAATATTACTCGTGCTAGCTTCAAGTTTTTATTTTATCGATTGTAATACGACGAGCTTTCGTCATTTTCTCACATGTTCATCAATGAATTATTTGTTCTAAATTGTGTCTGTCGCCTCATTGCCTTGCTTTGGTGCTGAATTAGACGCTGGAAATATGTCGTATTACGTTACTTCTGTAACTTTGCAAACTAAACGCAGCTGGGAAATAATAAGCTCAAAGTTACATCAAGCGTTAATAAACATTCAAACCATCTGACATCTACCCCAGATTGACGAGTCAAAATGTTAGCCGTAACAATTCCAGAAGTTCCCCGTCAAGAAAAAATTGTAAATAAAAAGGTTAGTCGTATTTATGTATTTTGTCAAAGACATTGGGATTGGTTATTACAGTGAAGTCATTTTTCTAAGGCATCTATTTAGCGTGTTGGAATAATTTGAAATTTCTTGCCAGTTCAAAAGTTCCAGTTAATTTTCATGTTCAAAGATAGTCAGATAGGAAACATAGGTAAAACTGTTAATGCTAACGTTGCCGATATAAAAAATAAACACTAATATTTATAGTTCTGGAAGCATATCTCGGAAACGAGGCATATTGAGCCCTCGTCAGGGAAATGTTGGTTTTGGTGGTGTCTACCACTCTATTTTATTTATTTTATTTTTTCATACTTAGCATTTATGTAGTTCTTCATAAAAAACTAAAATAATGATCATTATTATTACTTCTATGATTGTAGGAAGCACGCGAACCAATTGTACAGAAGGAATTATCATGTACCCAACAATGACAAACAGAGTTTTATTTTAACATTAATATTAGCCCACGTAATTGAATATTTACTATCTGTATGTAATTTAAATCTCTTCTAAATATAGAAAAAAAACATTAGGTGCTCTTTCTCTTAATGTCCATGAAGACTGGGTTGCACGACAATGATTTGCAAGTAACGAATGCCCTCTGCATACAGCCATTCATTCAAAAGTGAAACAACAAAGTGTACCTAGGTATTGAAGAGTACAAAATTTCCCGTGAAATTGAAAAGTACAATAAAAGAAGTGCTGAGATGTAAAATATCGAAGTTGATATCTACTTCCGGTACTTCCAAAAGTGTCGTTTTAATAGTTATCTTTATCATACATTACTGGCGAAGAAATATTGAAGTACGAGGCCCATATGGAGCCGAGTACCTTAATTTCCGAGTGTAGTGGTGTCATTTACTAACGAGTTTTGTATTACATTTTTCCCGAAATCGTCTATTTTAATAAAACATTTTAAATCATACAATTTATTCGTAATGTGTATGAAAAAGTGGTCAGGTAAAGTGTCATGGAAACTAAAATTTCCTGTCATAAAGTAGGCATGAAAATGAGGGTTTCATGACTATCTCGGGAAAAATATTTTGTTTCCACCAAAGCGCTCTAAATTCATGACGCGGTTTGTAACGAGAAATCATCATGCTACCCCTCTTAATAAGGTATAACACTGATATATGCACAGATTTTTCGCAAATCCAGAGCCAACTTGGCGTTGTGGGGTGGCCGAAAAGTTCGGGCATTTTAATAATGTATGCCGGGTTGCAATTTTTTTGCAATTTGTTTCCTTTGATGGGTAAATAATTTTCTCAAAATTGAAACGCACGCATCTTTTCATCGTAAAAACATTTTTGGTAAATTTGAAATTACTTGACAATGCACCAGCGCCAATTACACGTGCAAATGCACCAATAGTAGTGTTTTTGTGCAACTAGAATAGGCTAGGGTCATTATCACTATTAAATTAGTATAATTTAAAATTCCGTAACAACCCGTACTCTCGTATAGGCGATTGACCCAAAATTGCTTGATTAATGTAACAAGGTTAAGCTCATTTGTACTACTACGACGTTATCAGAATTTCAATGTTTACAACTAAAAAAACGGTCTGTAGACCTCTCCTTAGTAACGTTATCACAGGGTGGGAAAACACAACAGCGAACTTACCTAAATAAAAGTACGCTTTGTTTAAATCTATTCGGTATTAAAAATCCAGCGGCGAAGAAAAAATTCGCCGCTTGGAATAAGCTATGTTGAGCTGAACTCCACTCCTTGCACGTTGTCCAAGAGTCAGTAGTGGTCGGTATGGTACAATTTAACATTTGATAATCGTAATCCGTTAAAAAATCTGAACTGTTTGTAACGTTATATAAATCAGTACTATTCCATATAGTGCCATTATCATCTAGAAGAGTATTCGAATAGGTCGTATATTCACTACTTAACGTCGAAAATTTCGTTTTATTCGTATCCGAAGAACGCATTTTCGTAGGTGATGCCTTTGTCGACGATATAATCGAATGAAATATCTTAGAAATATTTGGCTTGGTGAAGTGACTTCTAGATTGAATCATAAGTATTTCCATTATGGTATCTAGAAATAAAGGGCTTTATCAATGAATGCAACAGATTGTATGAGCATAGTGGTCTTCTAAAGCACACTGGAAGGCACCAAAGCGATTGAATAAAGTGAAAAAGGAAAACGTGCACAAAGATTTTGAAAATGAATACAATAAATAATTACCTTATAACTTTAATTCAAAAATATCACATGTGTTATGCATCACATATATCTCATCAGCCTTAATCATTAAACTAAGGGTTGTAGTAAAAGTACATGCTTTCTGTTTGTTATTTACTAAGAACTTCGACGTGACACTCAAAAATTCGTCACGCCCCTTTGGTACGCCAATTTCCCTTTCGAAGTACTGAATAGGACTGAACAGAGCGACGAGTGACTGATACACTGACTAACTGTAGCGTAGTGCTCGGAGGAAAATCGATAATATAATCACCAGGACACGACGTCTGGGCGGGTAAAATGAACTTACTCAATGTGAAAACGTTTTATTATTTAATGAGCAATTATAAAAAAGTAATAGAACTGTCGGTTTCGATTTTTACTCTATAATTTATTAGCGAAACCTCGAACTTTATCGGAATTTGAGCGTCTATTACCAATCAGGGATGGTTAATTTCGTGGAAATGTGTGCAAACAATGAATGAAATGAATTGTGTCATTTAACCCCCGTTGAATGACATAGCAGCACGTAATGAGAATACAGCATTCTTTAATTAATTTATTTATTATTCCATGTCGACTATTTCACAGCTATGATACTTAGAGCTATTCTCCAGCCAGCTTTCGACATCGTTCGAAGTGAGGTCATCTGTTGATGGTAACTCAGTTAAAGGCTCCATTTCGCTGATATTTCTGCCGTTCGTCAAAATGGATCCGTTCTCCTTAAACTTCTGGTAGATTTTCTCGCGACACTTGTCCCCCAAGAGGGCGTCGGGCGAACCGGGGCAGGTCCCTAAACACAGACAGACATATAATAGTCTAAGGTTGATTAACGCTTACAAATCTACTACATGGTTGACGGGAGGAAGTTATTCATTTGGTGATAGCACGCAAAACAGTAATGACAAAATCATTATCTTACGGTTATTTTACCCCGGGGCTACGGAAAACAATCTTTTTCGTATTTCCTTTGTATAAGTAATTTATTTTTATATTCGCTCAAATAACCCAATTTGCTGATCTTGTGAATTAAATGGATTACGGCATGATAGAGTGTGCTATTTTTATAGAATTCAAAAACGATACTATGTCAGTCAAACCGCAATTCTGGTACTGAGTCAACGCGATATGTTCAACATTTTTAAAAAGCAATTTGAACTCTATTCGCGTACAAAATTTAAAGCGTAAAAAGTTGGTTTTATTACGATACTTCCGTAATAGTTTATGGGCCATTTGCAGTTTTACTGCGGTTGCATAGAACATGCATAAAATAATCAAACTTGTTTTATTAAATCAGCTTATATGTGGGGACATATTTAAAGTTTTCTATCGAGCAACTGACTTCCTAAAAGCCCGAATAGGCCCAGGTCTAGGGCGGTTAGAAATTAGGATCGGCTTGGCATCAGGAGTTAAATTTTTGTACTTTTACAATATTATGATTTAAAATTAGAAAGAAGATGCCTCTGGCATTTGACAGGATCTAGGGCTGCTAGTCTGCCTCTGATTCCTTCCTCAAAGCTACTATACAGGGTGGCGCATCTAAGATTAGATAGTGGAATGTGATACTGATATGGATTTTACTAATTTAACCACTGAAAGGATGTTGGAAAGCGTTTTTATTATGCATCATAATGTGTACTTGGGTGCTAATACCGGATGCTGTACCATCCAAATAGAAATCAAGGATGTACCAAAAAGGCGGTTTTCAACAGAAAACAGAACCCACACAACAGTTGTTAAAATGAAAGAAATATCAACAAATGAGAAAATTTTGACTGGAATGTGACTCCACCGAGAAACATTTCGGGAGGAGGTAACGATTAAAAAAATGTTATGTGAACTATGGATGAATCCTTGTCTTTTGTCAATCAACGGTTTAATTTAATAATTATACCAGTGCCTATCATGCCAAAGTCAAAACTAGTCTGGGCATATTTTACTTGTGATAAACATGGATCGCATCATCTAGGGTTCTTCTGACTTTTCCGAAAATTTCAATTCTGACTATCAAAAATGGGTACCTAGTTGACTTTCATCCCCCAGTTTCGTAAATGCAGCTTTCCTTAACGCATCCTATACTCATTTAAAAATCGACATTTTACCATTTTACCTTCTATTTCTATAATAATAAATTCAGGGGCTGTATGGGAAGTGGAGCGTGATCTGCACATGTCTCCGCACTTATGAGAAACCCTACGCTGTCCCTGATCATAATTTGTTACCAGTTGCCAGCACATCTAGCTGTACAAAAAAGGAGAGGCCTAAGCTGAAATGATGTCTACTTAAAAATGAAGGAAAAATATTATCTATCAGAAAATTCCCAAGCAAACTACTCAATGGTCCATATGAATCAAAGGGACAATATGCTTATACTTGCAAAACTCAAAGGAAATACTCGTAAGTGCCCCTTCACGCGTCCCGTCCCATGGCTAACAAGCGCTGCTAAATCGCCCAGTGTGAGGGGGCACTTACGAGTATTTATTTTAAATTTTGCAAGTATAAGCATATGCTTCTTTTTATTCATATGGGCCAATATTCATATAGGTACCTTAAAAAGGACGATTTTCTCTAAACTATCATATTCAATTTCCATTATTGAAAGTGCTTTTTTAGCCCCTGAAAATCTGCCCAGCTCCAGTTTTGAAAAGCTTCCTCGACGATTTTGATGGACTTATCAAAATTCAGTAACTATTGTTTTATAGCCACTGTTTTAGCACATTATTCATATGAGCGACAAAACCTCAGTACATGAAAAGCTTAATTAAGTCATTGTATTGTCAGATCAACATGCAAGTGTTATACATGACATTTATGACAGTAAAGACATAAAATAATGAGAATAATGACAAGACTTATTCTAATGTCTCTGACGGATCATGCGAATTTATAAAAATTTAATGTATAACATTGTTAAGGATTGGCTTAATCACTATTGTCTTCAGAAGCTATAAGATCTTGCGGCATTTTTCGTTTTAATCTAATGAATAAGTTTTTTTTGGCAAAGAAGGCTCGTTTGATACATTCCTCTTATAATATGCAGCAAGAAATGATTTTTTTGAACCGCTTTAGGATGTCCATATTAAAAAAATCTCCCGACAATCTCTAATCCCTGAATAAATATCTGTAGCAACAGAATGATAGTAACTTAACTGAATTGAATGTTATTAGGGCAGTAGGATTAAAATCAAAATTTCTGTGGTAAATGAATTTGATGTTGATGCTTGTCTGTTTCCCTGACTTACGAAAATAGTCATTTTTATAGATGTTTACCACCCTCACGTTAGTAAGGGAGATATTGCACTGGGGTAGAAAATGACCACCCACTTTTTTAACGGAAATACACGTTTTGAACCACCAGAAATCCGAACCCAGCAAAATCTCGATGATGTCGATCGGTCTGTCGATCTGTCGGTTTGTCTGTCTGTGTGTACTCTTATTTCCGGTTAAACGGCTGGATGGTTTGGAACCAAATTTTTTACACATAAAAGAGTAGAATGGTACATGTGCAGATGCAAACAAAATATGTACAAACAAACCGACAGAAATTCGGGTTACATCAATTCCTGCATGGAATACAAAGACAAGTTACAGATCCGCGAACACGATGTTGGCAGTAGATTACACATTTCTCACGAGTGTGATTGAATCAACCAAGTTTTTCTACGACTCACACTAAAATACAGTAATGTCAAAAGCTCTTTAATAGGCGCTTACGATATTTATGTTACATTAATAAATGGAAAGTAAAAACGTACGTGTGCCTTTTGTTTTTAAGAGAAAGAAAAAGTACGTGTATGTTTTTCTTTCGACTGCATTTGTCTACAGATTAACGAAACACACCATTTTTATGCCAACTTACTTTGATCATTTTTATTGGGAGCTGTGGGAAGAATCGCATTCTCTTTCCTCTTTCTACCAGGAGCCAGGAGGCTCGAATTAATTCGTATATTTCGGTTAGTATACCCGGGCGATCAAAAATGAGTTGCTGTCGAGTCGCCTTTGGAAGTTCAAGTTAAGTACGAATTACCATGTAAACAAAAATACCAAATGTGACTCGACAGCAACTCATTTTTGATGGCATAGTACTATGCCATAGTACGTTAATTCTCAAGAGGATCACCAGTTTATTTTATCGATCAACTGTATAGTTTACCAGTGAATATTCTTGATCTTTTCCTTGTTTTCTATACGATGTTTCAATGTACGATTTTTTCAATGTAACCTCATCAGTCATCATAGATTTGGAATAACTAATTTCAAAAGGCATCTGCTTTTTGTTTCGTATGGCAAAATATTTAGACAGAATCACATAGGTAACAAAAATATTTACGTCCGTAAATTATAGAATGTTTATATTACATGAATTGATTTGAAACATTTTGATGTTAAAAAGTAATATTTTTGTTATTCTCAAAAATAGGTGGTCAACGACTTTCGCATTGTTATAGTTTCAGATTACCTAACTTTGCCATTGCAGTTTTGGCATTGAAATCTACAAAACGTTAATTAATTCAATAAAACTGGACCATATGATATGATCACTAATGTTTTTAGTATTGTAAGCTGCAACCATTAAATTGATTGCATAACAAATTAAGTGGCTTATATTACGAATAATTGATGTAGCTACTGACAACTTATAAATATACATTCAAAACAGCTATACTGTTATTAAAATTAATGATTTTTTTTTCAATTGCAACATCATGTGGACACGAGCTATTATAATTAACAACCTAATTAGAATTTTAGTTATCGCGCCCGAAAACTTGTATATTAAGGATAATTTAATGTCATTTAATAGTTCTTCATTAATTACTTATACTATGCTGCTTTCTGAGCATAAATTACTATTATATACCGAAATTGCAAAAGATAATTATGCACTGGGATAAGTACCATTGGAATGTTTTTATTCAATGGGTAGTACTTCCGTATCAAATGTTTCGTAATAAAATTTTAAAGCAATTTGTGTCTAATTTAATTAGATTGGTTATCAAAAAATCGCATAATGAAAGCATGGGAAAGCTAGAAAAAATGACAAAATATTAGGGTTTTGCGCTTTATTAATCGCAATTTGATTAGTCTAATTTTCACCTCGCAAAATGCTTGTCTCGTGGTAAAATTTTCGGTTGCAATTTATTTATTTATGGACATCTGTCTTCTCCAAGGATATACGAACGCGTACCTATAGTATAATTCCTGAGATAATTTCGAGATTATCTGGTTTTCAAATCTGGACCATCAGCAAAATTTTCAAGATGAAGCCGATCTCATTGAATACATGGTTAACATTACGCAGTGTCTTTCGCTACGAAGAGCATTAAAATTATATAATTTGAGATTCGTGATTTTTATGTTCAAAAACCCCCAGCTACCAAATTTAGTGGAAATCAGAATTTTTTCGCACCCTTATTTCAGGGTGCGCCCTTTCGTGGAAGGAATTTAGAATCAAATGCAAAATCGGAAAGGGCATACCCCAAAACCTATTATTTTATGGTTATGGTTATTTGTGAAAAAATGAAAAAACGCAATTTCGCCATATTTTAAGGTGGCTCCCAAACGAAACACGTTGGACCCTCAGTTTATTTGGAAAAAGTGCTTGTTTTGATCCCCTCTACCGCCCAATTTTTTTACACACTGTATACCGCTTCATAGCAAACGTGAACGAAAGAATACCGATATCAATACACGTACCTATTGGGAAAAGCAACCATCATCTTTTGGGACCTAAAAGTTTCATTCCGTTCTGTTTAAAGCATGTGACGAAAATACGGGTTTTCTATCGGGCGCACGCCAGTCGAGGTCATTACGTTTTTCGGTTTTTCTCGTGAACGAGATTCAAAAGACGAAAGAATTGGGAGATCGGGCGATTCTAAGCTGGTTTTCGCGAGCGATCACGTACTACGTTAGGTACGCGAATTTTAATTCTTTGATTAGTTACTAGTTCGAGTCATTTGGGTACACTAATTTATTATTGTTGTTGGTTTATTTCGCGTCAATGCAAACGGTTATGGTTTTAGCTTCAGAAGCGACCGCGTATAAATATCGGTGTGTGAAACAATTATTTCGCGGTCGGCATTTTTAGCTTGGTTGCAAGAAAGATCCTCGCCTCCCCCTACATTTCGAGTACGTTGTGTAGAAATGTTTAAGCATAGGTACTAGGATTTGTGAAAAACTGCGATGTACGAATATATAAATTGCAGTGGATTGCAATGGAGCGATAAAATTTACGCGAAGGAGTACTTTCGAGTCGGAGATTACATAAACTGAGCTTGAAACTCATCGTAATAAACAAAGAATTTCTCTTTTTTCGGATTGCTAATAGTAACGGCTAGTTCAAAGGCAGTGCCTCACAGTTGGATTGATTTTTTGAAAAAACATCCAATCACATGCCTTAACAACATAGCTAGCATGACATAGTTAAGTATGCTTATAATACCGGCCGTCAATGTATGAGTATTGACAGACACAGCACAGCATTTGATTATCTCCTTTAAAACCTTATGCATTAATACGGAGTTTTATGAAAATTCAATGCTTTTCGCTCACGTCGTCAGCTTTTTAATTAATTTTCATCTTGGCATCTTGTTTCGGTAACTGCGTGCCTTACTACACTATTTATCAGTATCACGCTCAAAAACTCATTACCTATATTATCTTTTTTAATTCTGATCGGTGACTTATACTCTCCCCCAGACGTTAACGACGATGTAATACTTGGCAATCTGATATCTAAATGCGAACCTTTCGCAGTAACAATTTTATTGTTCATTGCATACAACTTCGTTGTAATATCTCGCGCGATTAACGTTGTCAATACCGTAGCCAAATACGTTTCTTTAACAAACAAGTACTCCAAAGCGCTTCGTTGCCAGAAAACATATCGACAGCTACTTGCGGCTACAATGGATACCTGAAATTACGTTATTTACGCAGGTTCTGTTCAAATCAGTCGTCCATACCTTAAATTTGTCATCGATGGTATTTCTACTCGACTCAAATTCGGGAGAATCGAGAAACTCGCACGGTAAAATCGGATGGAGGAATTGATTGTCACACAGTGCGTTCACCTAAAATGTCTTAACTAAAATAGTAAACTTAGCAGTGCAGTGTACCTTCCCGGACAGGAGTAGCCCAAGTCGATCGGGTCGTGTAAGATTTTGCATGGCGTACGCCTCCCCGGCGTGCAAAGACATTATTTGTGCAAAATCTGAACTAACCATTCGTTTAAATTGCAGTCTTGAAACCTAAAATGTGCTAAGTACCAGTAAGACGCGCTGAATAAATCGTTTTACCTTAAAGGGGTAGAAAAGGTTGTGGTATATCTCTTCCAATTCAGGATCGAACTTGACAGGTCTCAGTTGGTACAGGATGTGGAAAACTTGCGCCAGGTTTAGTAACATAAACGCAAAGCTCCACGTGAAAACATCCGGGGCGCAAATCACATTCCAGGCCCATGCCGAAACCAGCATCAATCCTAACATGAGGTTACTAACAGTCTTAGAAAACACAACTCACCTGTAATCAACCAGCAGTGCGTAAATAGAAGTCCCTTCTTTGACGAGGTCGATGCGTATCCAATTACAAAGCATACATTCGCCAAATGCACAAGAATGTGCTGCAGGTCTTTCCACTGGTAGCACCAGGGCCACCAAAAGTCAGAATCTGAAATAAATAATTAAACGCTGCTAGGTTTCGTACTTTAAATCACCGTGCGTCTCATTTAGATGTCGATCATCTTCAGTCCATGTCGTATTCGTTGTCGAAAATACGGCCAAAATGTGTCGCGCGAACGATTTTGAATGGCCATTCAAACCGAGTTCAGTCATTTCTGTGCGCTTTTACATTCGCCTTCGTGTTTTTGGTAATCGATATTTAAGGGCGCTCGTTTAAATGTAAACGTGGAGACCTCTTGTGGTGATTGTTAGTTAGGCGTAGCACATGTAGATGGAGATAATTGTGAAGTTTTCTGAGACTTGAAACAATAATTGAAACCCTCCTTAAAGTGGTTGCGTTTTTTTTCTAACCTTATAATAACTCACTTTCGAGGATTCTTAGCGAATAACTAAAGGATAATACTATACTACCCCCAAACAGAAAACCATTTCGAGACAAGCTCGGAGAAACAAAAGCTCAATAATAGATAAGTATATAGTAAAAACAAAGAGATTTTTACTTTAGTAAGAACTGAGTATATTTAAGATTTATAAGCTGTTCCCTTTATGCGATCGATTTCGGATTTTCATTTAAATCCATCTTCATCTTATATACATTAATTTTACTTAATGACGCTAAGACCTGAAGATTGATTTAAATGAAAATCCGAAATCGATCGCCTAAAAGGAACACCTTATAAATTTTAAATATACTCAGCTCTTACTAAAGTAAAAATATCTTTGTTTTTACTATATACTTATACAAATGTGCTCACTCATGGAGTCATTCATACAACTCCCTAATAGACTCCTTATATGTATTAAATGGTAACCTATCATATGAAATACATTGTAGTTTTCAACAGTACACCAGTATAAGACATTCCACAATGAACCAATAATACAACACCAATGCAAGGCATTCCACCGAGAACCAGCAATACTACACCACTACAAAACACTCCACGGACCGCTCCACGTTTACGTATACCTCCACCACGATTTTTTCCAGGCTAAGTATGATGCTATTTCTGATGAGACAAAGACATTGAGAAAGGGGAAGAAATGTTGTGTTTGCCAAAATAGTATAGAATGGAATTTTTAAGTCGTTGGCGTAGTTGACGTTTTGCCATTTCTCTGACAAAATTAGTAAATAAATGGCAATTTTGCTATACTGTTGTACTTGGGAGAAGAGAAAAATATAGGAAGATAACCAAATTTAGCCCAAAAGTTAGAAATCATCAAAAATATCAACCTTCCCCATAAACTTTATTATTATAAAATCATTAGAGTTTTAATACATATAAAGTCGTCGCGTCGACAGACCTTCAAAGTATTATAAACGTAAAATCTAGCATTTAAACGATACGATACGATACGATAAACAAATTTCATGATGAATTGAAGACTCTAGCCGGGAATTTAGAACGTCTATTAATTTGGAGTACAGAAACGTAATTGAAAATTAAATGGAAGATTAAGACCAAAAATTGAACGGTAAAGTTATGGGTAAATGACCTAGTTAAAAGTCTATGTAAAACTTCGATTTTTCATACGTAGATTAGTATCTTGCCCCTGCTTATTACGGTTGTGCTTCTTGCTGGGTTCTCAACGAAATTGTCGAAAAATGAACCAATACAGAAAGCTAGTTATTGTGGACCCAAGCAATGTGTTTCGCAGTTTTCCTGTTGAAATTGGTGAATAAATACAAATTTCGCTTTACCCACCTAACCAAAGATGGGGTATACAGGGTGAAAATGTTGTGTGGAACACCTTCAAAATAACGTTTTTTTTTAAATGAAGATTTTTATGGTATTGAAAGTTACTAAACAGTGATCTACCAATCTATGTACATTGTACAGGAGTTAACGATTGGGCGGAGTAACTTAATGCCTTGAAGATAAGAAATGTTTTGAATTATTCAAGGTGCGGTTGTAAAGTAGGGCACTAGAAAGATACATTTTTTAATGGAACCCCCTGTATTTGGAAGCATTTTTTAATTCTACGTGTAATTGTACGAGTTTTTGTTATATGGTTATATACGAAGAAAAAATAATTCAATTTTCAGAAAAATTTGACTTTTGCAAGTGTCAGTTTATTGTCAAAATAAATTATTACTTAAAATTTGATTCCAGGCTCTACATCTTTTAATCTTTTATCCTGGGTATAAAAGTCAAATAAATACATCTGCTACGAGATATTAAAAACAAACTTACAGGGTGTTTTTTTGTAGGTTCGATCTATTTGCATAAGCTTCTAAAGCCCTTAGAGGCCCTTAATCGGTTCTAGAAGACCCCGACAGTGTCTTTGTCTTTAAGACCAGCGGTTCTCAACCGGTGGGTCGTGACTCCCGTAGGGTAGCAGACGTGTCCAAGGGGATTATTTAATAAAGATACACAAAACAACTATTGTACACGTTTTGATGTATTTTTAGGGGGGTCGGCAAAATACTCAACCTAAAAAGGGCCCGCAGTGTCTGAAAGGTTGAAAACCACTGTTTAAGACTATTAAAGTTAGTAAATGGCTTGTAAAGGTTATTGGACACACCTTGCGACACTTGAAAACCTAACAGTTTTGAATAATCCCAACGCATAGGTCCAGAAATCTCTTATAGACTCTTGGAAACTTCTTAAAATTATCGGCCACTCGTATACTCCTAAAATTTCTTCAAAGCCCATGAGACCTGTTAAAAAATCAAAACTGTTAAAGGCGCCTAAAGGCTCTTAAAGATTGCGTCTCTAATAAAAGTTGGAAAAGGAGGCTTTTAAAGCTTTAGAAATCCGTTAAAAACTGTCAAATATCCAGAAGTTTCTTTAAAGGCTCGACTTTTAAAAGTTTTTAACTGTTGCGGGCTCTGAAGTTATTCTCCAAGACACTTTAAGGCCGTACAAGCTCTAAAAAACGAACTAAAGTGCAGCTTTAAACAGGTGAGACACTTTCAAGGATTTTAAATGCTTCTAGAAGATACTTTGTGATGCTCTTGTAAAATATTTACGACCATTAAAAACACAGACCCCTAAAAACCCTTAAAAAACTGGTGAAGCGTATTAAACTCTCTTAAAATCTTTCAAATGGATACTCTTAAAGACTCTAAAAATCATTTAAAGGTTGTCAAAATCTCTAGAAAGACCCTTGGAACGTTCCGTTGGTAGGTATTAGACCAAATATGCCCGCTACTTCATATTCTTTTTACTTACTCAACATTTCTATTCTGGTCTTGCAGTTAGTTGGTAAAATCAATTGTCGTGACCCATAGTTTGTATGGTCATCGGAATACAAAGATACTCCAAAAATTGATAGGTATACATATGGGAATTGTTCTCAGAAAGTTATAGAAACAAAAGCCAAGTGCTGAGGAATGGTATTTGCTTTTTCCATGTTATACCTAAACGTAATGAATTTACAAAGGCGCGCTCGTAAAAATCTATTACTGCGACTTTGAATAAACACGGTAGCTAGATTTAATTAAATTCCTATCATTATTTACTTAGGCACTATATTATTGCTGCAAAAAAATAACATTTGTTGGCATTGTGCACGTGTATATTTGCGTAGACATAACTCGGTAGCAAGCACAGCAGGTCATGCTATAATAAACAGTTAATATTGCGTATTTATTTTATATCCTGCAATTATTTACAAATCACTCGTAAATTTCAATTGTCCTAAAGATAACACGTTCGATAATGGATATTATTAGTTTCCATTGGGTTTTAATTTGGAGATATATGTAATCCCTAAATGATTTTAAGAATTGCTGCTGTGCAGACTAATATTACTGAACAATAAGAGAAAAATTGCAACCACAAGTAAATTAACTGAAATTAATAAGTAATGTCTGTTCGGTAGTGAAAAAGGTTAAAATTTAGACTATTTTTTGGTTTTTTTGTTCACATTGTACATGGTTTTAGGTAATGACTCCGATGAGAGTTGGGGTACCTTACTAATTTCAGTAAGTAGAAGCATTGCAAAAGACATTTTAAAATTGATCACGTAAACTGAAGACTGCATATCACATCACATCCAAAGAATTGCAATGCGACAAAAATTGAACATTAATTTCGTAACTTTCTACTAAGGGGACGATATTCTCCGGTTACGCATCATACTAACGAAATTGTAACACTAAAGTCAGTTGGCAAAAGAAAATAAAAGCAAAATAAGGTATTAAGGTTGAGGTAAAGGTGACCATTGGATGGAACCCCTTTTCATATAATACGGCGTGGTGGGGTTTGAAAGTTTATATTCACGCACCCCTTACAATTTTGGTTAGTCCTGGAGTCAGGAGAACTCTGTAATTATAATGTTGTAGTTTAGTTGGATTGGGGGAGTCGAATTTGACTCTATGAAAAATCGGTGCGTGCGTGAAAAGGGATTTTTAGGAAATTGTAATTAGACGGTAAGTTGATGGTTTAGTATTACCTTTATAATTAAAACTGTTGAATTAAATTAAATTACACTATAGCGCGTAATGCTTTTGGTCCAAATAAAAAGAAGTTTAGCAAGAGCGAATCATTTCAGTTGTGTACTACAAATTTGCATGCATTAACAGAAAAGTAACGGGCATTAAGCATTTAAAGTATTATATAGACGCGAAAGTATGTTACAATTATTTAATTATAATTGATAAAGGATAATCCCAATTAAGTATCATGTAAATGTAAAAATATACCTAAAGAGTAATCATGAACCGGACATTACAATCGACGTGAAGCATTAAAAGTTCTTGTAACATTTAAAACTTAAAGTGAATCTAATGTCCCTAACAGATATAGCCAGTATTTGCAAGCTCTTTCCAAGAGCATTATTCCAATATTTAACATGCAAGGAAGATGTGGACAACTTTGATAAAATAATATACGATAATAAATAAATGTGTATCTACTAATTGAGTGTAACCGCCAAATCTCCCAAACTGAATATTGGAAACGGTGCCGTATTTTTAAAAAGGCGAACGTGTTTCATGCGGTCGTTTGCACTAATTTAAACTGAATTTAATATTATGCATAGCCTAGGATGAATTGCAATTGTTCTTACTATGAGATTTAAATCAGTTTAAATTTGACGATGCAAATGCCATTAAAAATTTAATATCTGCGAAAAGTATCACCAAACAAAAGTAGACAGAGAAAAGACCATATAAAATTAGAAATAGGCTAGTTAACTCGTCACGTTCCCAGCATTTTACTCTTGGAGTCAACTAAAATGGTCTGGTCTTCCTTTCGAAATGTTTCCCCAGAGATTTTTGGGAAGTTAAGGATTATCTTTCGATTTGTCACTTCTTAAATAGGCCTCATTATCATTAACCATTGGTAGGAGTTTATAGAAATTACTGTTATAGCACATAAAGTCCACTAAATAAAACCAAAGCCGTAAGTTTGTTCAAATTTTGGATATGTACTTATATCAGGCACACGGAGACAAAGAATAACGGATTTTTGCAAATAGCTCAAAATTTTTATTAAATTATTCTAAAGACCTTACTTTTTGTGTACACTCTACAAAAATTATGCTAGGTTTTGTTACAAAAAAAAACGGAAAACATATGTCAAAGTTAAAAAAATGAAATACTTTTTGCCGGTCAAGCGATTATTTTTATTTTGTTAAAATTTTGCCAGTGTACATTACGCATAAAGGATGTAAAACTGTCAAAAACTTTTTTTTTAATATCTGTTTTTTTAGTGTCATACAGCTTTTTTTCAAATAGTAACGCACGTTGTTTATTAAGTTATTTTAAAAAGATTATTTGTCTTTGTTTAACCTACAGAAAATGGGATACGATTTATTAAAAAAAAGAGAAAAAAATTTTAAAGTCTCTGAAGTCAAGCAGCTTATAGTGCGCGATTAGTATTTAGGATGGGTGATTGCTGGTTGCTTTGTTTTTGGTTTTAATGCAAAAAACGTAAGATAAATTATTTAGTATATAATCGGATCAGTCTACGTTTATCCTCGTGAGAAATTAGATGCCTCCCAATTATGTATACCATTAAAATGCAATTTTTCACCTTATTACAAAACTTAGATTGACTCATCAACTTTTCCTACATAAATTAGGTAGCTACCGATTATGTACCAGTGCAACCCACTCGTGCCGATCAGTACATTTGAGGAAACTACTTTTAAAATGCACTTAAATCTTATCTTAGGCAGTGGAGGAATGCGTTTAGTGGTTTTCCCAGCCATATCGATGATTAAGTAAAAATATGGGTATGGATCTTTGGGGCGAAAAGTAAATGGCATGTAGCCATTTAGTTTATTTTTTAAGCACTGAAATTGATCAATAAATAATGCTTTTGACGCAACTCCAATGTATCCCTTTAAGAATTATTCTCATGCACACGTTTGTTTATTATTTAGATAACTAATCTAGGATTAGCAAAGGAAAACAACAACACTCATCTTTCTCACTTTAATTGAAAAGCCCATTTTAGAAGTTTATTTACATTAAATAACTGAAAATAATCAAAAAATATAGAAATGGGTTAGTTAGCGCCTGAATAAGTAAACAACCCCTACCCATATGGGCTTACCTGTGCTCCAGTAGTCGACCTCAAATTTTCTAACCGTGTTTTTACTATATAAGGATTAACTACCCTCTAGTAATCAGGCACTATTATTCATTACCCATAAATCGAACATACTAAAATAGAGAATTTTTGTTTCAGATGTCTCGTATTGGTTATATGAACAGCAGTTACTACGGATACGATGATAGTAAAGATTCCGGTTTTGACATATCCTTCAAATCCGAAACCTCGGACGTCGTAGACGACATGTTTGATAACGAACGCTTTTCAAATAACGATAAAATTTACAAAGTCGAAGAATCAGATTCAAAGATTCTGTACGAAAAGTTCAACGCCGCCTTTTATAAAGGCTTAGGTGAAAGCTCATTCGATCACTTTAAAAGCTACAAATCGGAAAGCTCAACGGAATTCAACTGCGACGAAAGCTTGTCCGAATCGGAGTTTCTCAATAACGAATTTCTAACATCGACGCCGGTTAAGAACAGAAAACGAGCATCAACGAGTTCCTTCAAGGAGAGTAAGCCAAAGAGGCGCTATTCGACGGGTAGGCACCGTGTTTCGAGGACAAAAAGTCCAACGCACGTCCAACGACTGAAAAAGAATCGGCGAATGAAGGCAAATGATCGGGAACGTAATCGGATGCACATACTCAACGAAGCGCTCGATAGGCTACGATGCGTCCTACCTACCTTTCCCGAAGACACAAAACTAACCAAAATTGAAACGCTACGTTTCGCCTATAGTTATATTTGGGCCTTATCTCAGACTGTGAACAACGTAGATAAATATTCGTCCTCGGAAACGGGAGTTGTCACAGTGAACGTCGGAAACGTAACGGTGTCGATTAGTCGCGAGGGAAATACCATTACCTCAAAGCACTGCGGCGATCAAAACGTCTCGACGGCGGTGGTGACCAGCGGAAGTATTAACAATGCTAGTTTTATGCAAGGTTTCGATTTTGATCTCAAGACTGGTTCGCCATCGCCCTACTGGTTGCCTGCCAGCAACCCTTGTTCGACTTATCCCAGTATCTGTCCAAGTCCCTACACTTACGACTTCAACAGTCCAGATATGGTATACGAATGTATATAGCACAATTGCATTGTAATAATTTCAACCACTTTTTTACGAGAACTATTTTTCTAGTCAAGTTGTGTGATATGTACTGTAAAATAAAAGAAGAAGCTTTATTTTGCCTATTTTTATATTTTGTGCAACATGTAAAAGATTGATTGTTATTTATATAGTTTGTAAGGATATTTTTGTACCTACAATTTAAACTTAATAAAGTCTATTTCTTATAAAGGTATTAGTAATTTAACTACCAAACCTGCTCTAGGTAGCAGGTGGGGGCTATAAAAGTGAATACTCCATCGCCGCCTTCGCTTCTTGAGAGATTGTGTAATAATATTTAGTCCTATGAAAATTTGTACTTAGGCCAGGAATATTGAATTTAATGCTTTTAAATAGTCATTTACATAAAAGTCAGGAAAATGGACATTACTGGCGAGGAAATACTGAAGCACGAGGCCCCTTTGGGGCCGCGTACTTTAATTTCCGAATCAATTAGAACAATTTAAAAACCTTTAAAAAGTCAAAGTGACCCGGAAAAGTTTAAATCAGTTGTTTTTTGAATTTGAATTAAGTTCGTATTGACGTTACGTGACGGCAGACAGTTAAAACAGACAGGAAAAATCGTACCGAGTTTGTTTTATGTGGAAACTCGTTTACAGAGAACACTATATACTACTGAAATGACTTCTTCTTCATTATAATATTATTGATTGATTTATTGACAGTAGGTATTAATAAAAATTTTTTCTTAAAGGTATCAAATCTGTATACATTGGCTAGTTGAAACCGCCGTATATTCTGAAAATTATTACGTATGAACTCATTTAGCAAGGATTTGGTTTTTTTTTCATTTAAGGTTGGTTTAGTAAATTTCAATGAGAATTTCCATGCAAATGGGTTCAACTGTGTTACCCACAAGGTGTGTGTTCTTTTTCAACGAGTAAATTGCCGTAATGTTTATTGATCATCGAAATTTAAATACGAGTATTTAGAAAGGGGCGTGGTTACGATATTAGGGGTTGATTTCAAATGTTCTTCATAAACATAACAAATACTTAAATAAAAATGTAAAAGAAGGTGGAATTTGGATCTCTTTTATTTTGTCAAAATATTCCATCTTTCACCCTAATTTTGTATTGGCTGTCTGCAATCAATCAACTTAAAAAAAATCTCAAATTTTGATTGTCATAATGGAAGGAAAGGGAAAAATTTCAATAAGATGATTGCAATAAAATTATTATAGAGCTAGCCGTCAAGTTAGGCAATTTTATTGCAAACATTAAATTTTGTTGCCAGTATAAAGTTCGTTTGAATTAGCACGATCAGAGGGTGATAAAAATCGTGAAAAAAGTACAACTTTCCATACGAATTTTCGTTAAAAAAAGTCCGATAATTTCATCACTATGTGAAAAAGGTATCTTTCGCTGCGAATTTGATCACGCGGTTTAAAGTTTCTTAAAACTCGAATCGCAGTCTCTCTTTCTCGTGTCGCCAATAGAAGCTCGAGCTATGAGAAGTACCCCAAAAATTGAGTACTATATTGTGGAGGTTTTTTGTTGCCAAATTCACCAAAATGCGAATTGCGGATGAATCCCGGTGAACGGTACGTCGGAAGTGGGTACCGACAAAGGGAATGTGGTAGCCCCCGACAACATGTTACTGATGATGGAGGCAAAACTTCAAACGCGAATTGTGGGTGAAAGAGACGTCAGAAGCGGGTACCGACAAAAGGAATGTGGTACCCTTCGACAGGATCTTGGCTAATAGAATACTGATCTGCCACACAAAAATGCGATGAAATCCCTTCGATCTCATACGAGGACTTTTATCACTTTTTTATTTCGTTTCTTAACAACCTGCTACGGGGGTTCCTTCTGGACTTGAAAATTACCATCGGTTCCGCCCGGCAAGGCAAACCGTCTTCTTCTCAGGCTGCTCAATCGATAAAAATAAATGCTCCGGCTAACTCAAATCGGTGGGCTTTTAACTCTTTTGAAACTGTGTAACAAACCTTGACCTGCCGCCTACCAATCTCCTGCCTCTACTCCTACTCCTCCTTTCCTTCCCCTCGTTCTTCGTTAAAGACATAGGCACATTGACACCAAATAGATAATATATTGAAATGAGATTAGCGATACAAACAATTTACAGGGATCTAGCAGTTCTTCTCTTCTCCTTGTAAAAACACTAGCTTAACAATGACAACTAAACTAAATAAAAAATCCTAACAGGTGAAACTAATTTACTCAAGGGGTGGCCATCCTCTACAGTTTGAAAATTGCAACAACAGGTAATCGGTTTTTAATCCAGCGTGGGCTGGGACTTATTTAAATAAACACAAAAATTTATCCTACTCTTTGGTAATCGTTCATTGGACTTTAATAAACAATCAACTCAAAAATTTTTTTACTATAGCTTAATTACCAAAAAGTGGAATTTTACAGAATATTACAAATTTAATTAGACTAACCTTTACAACATTTGTACAGCCGATCTTGTGAACTGCTCTTTCCTCTGGTACAGGGTGGATGTGATGAAACCTGACACTTAGGTCTCTGTGACTTCCTAGGGGGTGGCTTGAATTTAACACACGGAAACAAAAATCCACGGTGCCTATCCTTCCTCGGAACGAAAGCAAAGTTTAGTGTTTGAACGGAAACTTAGTCCAGGAAATCCTTCGCGTGGCGAGTGGGAGACGGCTAGTTGCCAAAGTTTCTACACAGCACGTGTATTTAATTTTATTTTATTAGTTTATTAGCTTTGATCGCCTGCGGGAGACGGATTTTTTGAGTTAGCGGTACGGCAGAACACAAACTTTTATGATCACTATCCGACGGTAAACCGCGATGGTTCAAAGTATTATTTCACCAGCTCTTCTTGGGGCAAATATCTCTCCGAAACGCAGCGCTCCTTCGACAAATGACCTTACGGCACTAGTAGGAAATTCCAACTGGGGCGGATCCCGAAATTCTGCGCCTTGAGGACTAGGGCAGCACTTTGACTTATATATCCTCGAGAAATCACAACGTATCCTAACGCGATTCACTGCATCCAAAATAAACTGGGGTGAAGCTCAAGGGTTCGCCCAAATATCACCTGATTGAAACTTGGGTCTTCTTCGCCAAAAAATCAACGCGCAAAGAAAATAACACTTCGAAACGGGTGCAAAAAGCACGCAACTGCGAGCAACCGAAATAAGCCGGTGGCTCAAACCGCCAAGTGTACCAAAACGATCGCTCAAGGTACGTGTTGACCGCTTGACGTACTAACTGCGAATCTTCTCTAAAACGCGATCACTCAAAGTACGTGTTGACCGCTTGACGTACTAGACGCGAGTCTTCTCTAAAACGATCCCCTTCTTCAGAATTGAAATGAAAAAACCACACCCAAATTACCATAAAACAAAAATGGCTCCCGCTAGAAATTCTCCCATTGGTTCAGATAAAGAAGACTTAACCCACTCTAACTTCGTCGTCAACCTCAAGGAACTGCTGACTCAAACTGATCTCACGGTTTTCTGCTGACGAATTTAAAAGGCCCCTTATCTCTGATAGCTCGGTGCTACATCCGCTCCTTTTCTCGGTCTAGACGGCGCCAAAGTTGATAAACGAACGACAAAAACCTCGCATTACTCATGATGACGTCAATCAGCTTTGCACTCTTTCCACGACGAAATTAAATCTGAGCGAAATTAAATCTATCGGACCATAGTCTTGAGCGAACCGAAATGCCCAAACACAAAATTTCTAACCGGAACAAATAATGAAATATACAGGGTGACCTTCACTATCATGACAAGAAATTTCGAAATTTTTAATGAAATTTGGCGCGAAATCAAACCACTCGTTACAAACCACAACACAATATATGGACGAGACTAACTTTTTTTTTGTTTGTACTTTTTCATCAAATAAAAGTTTTTATACATTAAACTTAATTTTTTCGAATTTAATTTGCTTTTAAGTTAAGCTTGTTGTTTGAAATAACAAATTTTCAAGATAATGTGAATATAAAGGGATAGTAAAAACATTCTAAAAGTATTCTAACCGGTAACACAATTTTTAGAGGATACTAAGAGTTCCATAGAGGTTCTAAAAGAATTCTAATAAAGAATCTAAAAGGATTCTGAGAACATTCGGAGTTGATCTAAGAAAATTTCAAAAAATTTCCAAAGTGAGTCATAAGAAGGCTCTACGAAGACCGTAGGACGGCGATTCTAAGATAATTCTAAAATATTCTAAGACGATTCAGAAAAGATTCTAAAAAGATTCCTATCAATGTTGTGAGTATTGTAAAAATTCTGTCGAAAAATTCTAATACTGTTGTATAATAAATAGATTTTCATATACAATTCGGAGAACAGTCTGGTAAGATTCCGAGAAAACCACGGTGCTCCTTAGAAACTTCTAAGCGGCTTCTAAAAGGTGTTTTAAAAGATTCAATCTAAGAAATTTTTAAGAATTCGAATGAGGTTAAGGTCCTAAATATTCACGAAATTTTTGCAAAGAGTTTAAAGAAGACAATAACAATAGTAACATTCTAAGAGGATCCTAAGATTCTACAAATACTGTAAAAGATTTTAAACGATTCGAATAGCTATGAAGGTTTTAAATGTTCTACAGATCTTAGAAATGGAAGCTTTGAAGTTTCCAAAAGGCTTACAAGAATACCTTAGGAAGATCGGAAGAACATTCTAAAGTCCTTAGATGCTACTGAGAAGATTTAACACAAACCCTAAGGATTTCCTAAGATTCTAAAATGCGTCAAAACGACTTTGAAATACTTAAAAACATTCTGTGGTTCTGATTGTTCAAAAGGTTCTAAATGTAACAATATTGTACCTAAGAAAATTTGAGGAAGAATCCAAAATGATTTTTAGAATACTTGAAATATGTTACCTACTTTAAAGCTTTGAAAACTACACAATTTCTTAAAGTATTTGTAATGGAAAGTAAATCGAATACTTGCATGAATTCCAACCAATCATCTGAGGATTTGAAATTGCAGTACGGAACTCCATAAGAAATTGCAGTTTTTTTTATTAACCGGGTTTCTATACGTTTCTATACGTTTGTTGC